AAAGAAACACGGTACAGTAAAATTGTACATGCATTTTCATATGATAGAAAATCTACTATGGTAATTTTAGAGGCGTGATTTCCAACGTAAGGGTTCAACTCCGATTGGACCAAGCCAAATAGGCGCAGACCCTTTAAATTTTCGAGAAAAAAAAGGTTCTCAAACGCTTTGCTGAGATATTCTCAAAAGTTAAGTTTAAAATGTTGCAGCTTTAAGCACAATAAACATAGAATTTCCCAAAACCATGCACCCTCAATTCGTTAGCTCTTAGATTTCTGTCGATTACCTATCAAACTGTATCTATTTGTTCATTCCTTGATTTTTATAAAGCCTGATCTTCATAATTTGAAATGCTGTTCAGCATGGCATCGGGTGCTTTTCAATACTTAGCACATTTGGTCCAAGCAATAAACTATTTGTGTGATTTTGTGATGTGGAATCAGGTGCTCGTCAAAGTCCAAAATAATGGAATCGAAGATATCTACATTTATCTGCCTGTTAAGCATTATCTGTTGAATGTTTAGGCTTAACGACGTTTACGTCAATTTAAATACACATTTCTGTGTGGGTGTTACTGAGAAACGTTGATAAAACGAACAAAAAATGTTAATATTTCCTCATTAATTTTGCCTCTGACACAAGGCGACCCCACCACCATCAATCGCTAATATCTTGACTTCTGTTCAAGATAGACAGGTTGTTTTTTCCACCAAAAGCATGACAATTGAACAGGCTATAATTTGACAGCAACTTCTATGTTCAAACGTTGACGAGCGCCTTATTCCTCCACGCTGCGACACATATTTTAAGTGTCACGACGCGGTGGAATCAGGTGCTTGTAAATTTTTGGGCATGTGGAGTTTTCTGTATCATATTAAAGCATATTTATTTGTCTAGATTTCGGTGAAAAAATATCCATCTATTTAAAACAGAAGTCGAGATATTTGCTTTTGAAGTTGGTGGGGATCGCCTAGTTTCAGAGGTAAAATTAGCAAGAAAATGGCTGCCAAAGTTTGGTGACTTCCAAAGCTTGAGAGTCCTTGCAAACTGCAAATTTACCTAATTTGAGCCTCTAATCAACGTCTTTCACGGGGCGCTAGTGGTACATCCTAGGTGGAAGCAGTTTGTCAGTTTGTTTTAGTAAGAGTTTTACGGCACTGGCAAATTAATTAGGTCATATAGGTGCCGAAGTATAAATCAACACAGAAATATGTTATATAGCCAAAAAAATGTGTTGATGGAAAAAACAAAAATTTAATTGAAAATGCCGAACAGGGGGAAAAATGGCGGTTTCTTCGATTTCATCAATTTGACAAGCGCCTCATTTCACCATTGTCATTAATTCGCTACATATACCTCAGAATTACAAAGTTCTATCTGACATATATGTATTTGGCTTTTTGAGTCACGAAGACCATGAGGTCAGAAATCAAATAATGTTTTATCGGCTCCTTCAAAACTGTATGAGTATGATTATTCGGAGTCGTTATCAAGATATTCAAAGAATTGCATTCGAAAAAGCTTGACACTATGGGAAACTCAAAACCTTTGACGTCCAATTTCTCAAAACAAGGTACTGAGCAGATAGAGAACTTTGTAGGCCTACATCTGAGGTAGCGATTTGTATCAATGTCAGTCATAACAGAACGATGAGACCTAATAATAAATAACATTGTTCACTCCCACCCCTCCCTCCTTCCTCTTTCCCAGCTTTCCTCCTGTCCCCCATGCTTAATTCTGGACCTCTCAGTCTCTGCCCCCCCCCCCCTTCCTTTTCCCCTCAATTTTCATCCCTCTTTAAAAGAATACCCTCCCCCCCCCCAACCTCTTCTCTCTATCTATCTGTCTATCTGTCTATCTATCTATCTATCTATCTATCTATCTATCTATCTATCTATCTATCTATCTATCTATCTATCTATCTATCTATCTATCTATCTATCTATCTACTGTATCTATCTCTCACTGTCTATCTATCTCTGCCTCTGTCTATGTTTCTATCTGTCTGTCTTTCTCTGTCTGTCTCCCTCACTCCCCTCACTCCCCCCACCCCCCACGCTCTCTCTCTCTCTCTCTCTCTCTCTCTCTCTCTCTCTCTCTCTCTCTCTTTCTTTCTCTCTTCCTCTCTCTCTCTCTCAATAATTGTTTTACACATGACGTATCGTGGTGCATTCAGCTGACTTAGAATATAAACCGTACCGTTATTATTGGATGGTCATCTCTTCCCGATAAAGATAAAGATGCACAGTAAGGTATTCAGAAAATCAGTCGGAGGCGCTTTCCGACTGGCGTTAATGACTGCCATTCTAATGATAGGATGTGCCGCAGATGGTTGATGAGGCGCTAATGGTAGGTTCGAAGTGGAAGCAGTTTGTCAGTCCCCCCTCCCTTGTCTGTCTGTCTGTCTATCTGTCAGTCTGTCTGCCCCCCCCCCTCTCTCTCTCTCTCTCTCTCTCTCTCTCTCTCTCTCTCTCTCTCTCTCTCTCTCTCTCTCTCTCTCCCTCTCCCTCTCCCTCTCCCCCCCTCTCTCTCTCTCTCTGGACGCAGTTTGTTCGATTGTTTTTTGTTCTAAAGTAAGAGGTTTACGGCACTTGCCTGACCATTAAACGGAATCAAGCCGGGCTGTGAACTATTGTGAATACAGTTTATGTTTCGGGCGCTCATAATAATAGTATGACCTTAAGTAGTTGCCGGCGCCCCAAAACTCTTCCTAAACTAAACGAAACGGCACTTGGAACATAAAATTAGAGGTGTAACTAGAAAGTAACAAACACAAAAAAAGGAGGAGAGATAAGGATGGCAGACATTTGATAGGAAATTAGGAGCAAACCACACCAGAGCACCCTCCAGCCACAAGACAAACACACACGTCATATGGATAGCACCGAGCCAGGTGTGAGATAAATAACGCCCCTCTTAACACTGTAAAGTTATTTATAAACGGTCGGGACCTCCGATTTATTAACATCCATCTCTGACAGGACTGAGCCAAAAAAGTAGAGAACTCTGTTGGATGGTTGGCGGGTGCTCTGGTGTGGTTTGCACCATCTCTCCTATCAAGAATCTATTGTCTTTATCTCTGCTCCTTCTTTCCTATCAAGAATCTATTGTCTTTATCTCTGCTCCTTCTTTCCTATCAAGAATCTATTGTCTCTATCTCTGCTCCTTCTTTTCTGTGTAGTTTACACTCTAGTACTAGTAACAATTTCCGGCACTTATGATATGGCCTCTTTGTGTTACAAGGGCCGTGAAACTCTTGCTAAAAGCTAAGAAAACCTTGAAATCTCTTTGATTTCAAGAACACAACACTGGGGATACGAACCTGGGCCATCCATAACAAAGCCCAGCATAACACCGACTGAGTTGATGGCACACCTCCAAATAATATGTAAGAACCATAACCCCCCTCCCCCACACACACACACACACAACCACCAAAGTTCAGGAGTAGCCAGTTGGGGACTCGAACCAGGATCATCCACACATAAATCCAGCATGAAACATAATATGGATGGAATTGACCAATCATTGGTCTTTGCAAAAATTTAACGCCCTTTTCAACCCTATAAGCGTATAGAAGGTGGGACCTACGAACTTAACGTCAATCTCCAATAGTACTGAACCAAATGGGTGGACTGTGGACAATCTTTTAAAAAATCCCCAAAACAACTAGAGTTCAGAACGCCTTGTCAGGGATTCGAACCAGGGCCATCCGCTCTGCAGTTCAGCGAAATACCAACTGAGCTAACCGTGCCCCGTTAAATTTAAATAAACATCCATTGTCCTGATCTGTCCTCCTTTTTTGTTTATTACTCTCTTGTACCACCCACGGCATCCCCCTGACTAGTGACCCAAGCTCTGGCTGGCGACAGAGAGATGTCTCTTTCTTCCCGCGACACCCAAAAGGGTATAAGCGGTGGATAAAAGAAAAGAAAGAAGAAAACTCTCTTGTAGCACCTCCGATCTTCGGCACTTATATGACCATATTGTGTTGCAAGTGTCCAAAAACTTGCACTAAAACTAACAAAAAATCAAAACCCTTAGTGATAGTGTCGATGCTCAGTTGATAGGAAAGGAGCAAACCACACCAGAGCACCCTCCAACCACCTGCAGGTCCCACAGTACTGTTTATTCTTTATACCAGTGGTATTAAACTCGCAGTCAATGGGCCAACTGGTGTCACCAGGACAATATTTTTCGGCCCCTAATTAACATCAAAGTACATTTGTAAGTGTTAGTGCGACCCGCACGTTTTTCCACAGACACCTTTTGGCCAAAAAGCTTATGTTCTGAAGAACCATTCCATTCATATTTCTGAACTGCTATTAATAGTTTCATAAAGATTGGCAAAATTAGACCAGTTGTACTTCATTTTTAAATACTTTAACTTTAACTTTAACCCTAACATTTTTGTGAGGAATACTTAACTTAAAGTGGCCCAGGCTTACCCAGACCCCAGCAGCTCAGGGGTAATTATTTGAGTTTGAGTGAGACCCCTGGTCATCATGTTGTGAAAGAGCCAGAAACCAAATTGACCCCAAAACAACATTTAAAAATGAACGAGATAGAATTTTAGTTTTAGTAAGAGTTGTACCGCACTTGCAACACAATAAGCTCATATAAGTGCCTAAGATTAGAGGTGTTACAAGAGTGTTACAACACAAACACAAAAAAGAAGGAGGAGAGATAAAGGACGATATATGTTTGATAGGAAAGAAGGAGCAAACCACACCAGTGCACCCACCAACCACCCATGGAGAAAGATTTATATCACAGCATCCAACCAACAACCCACAAAGGAGGAGAGATAAGGACGATACAATAGGTAAGAAAGGGCAAACCACAAAAGAGCTCCCACCAACCACTCGCAAACGCATATATTTAAAGGAAAGCAAGCAGGGCCTCACACAGAAGTAAAATGATGGGCACACATCCTCTGCTTTTTATTATCAAAAAGAAGACGCCAATGAGACATATATATTAAATGTATATACATGGCTTTACATGAACTCATGGAGGGAAAAACAAAACACATAATAAGTGTATGAACAACATCCACAGTTTAAGTTCCAATTAAACTGTCAGACTACAAGATTGGAGGATCGAGCAGCGATTTTTTTTTTTTAATGGCCTGTCCCACCTTGCTCAACTCACTGCCTTCAGGCACGTTAGCTTTCTGCATCTTCACTTAGATTAAAAAAAAAACATCCGGAGACAAAAGAGGACAAAAGACAGTTTTGCAGCCTTTGTAAGACGTGATGACAAAATGAGTTATTTCTCAGATTTTAGCCTGATAGATGTGCATTTATAAACCAAATTTATAGGCTGAGTTTGAACAATTTAATGGAACGAAATATTAAAACACATGTTAAACTTGAAGACAATGACAAACGTCGAAAATCCATAAATTTGACACCAGTGTCGAATTTTGACGGATATCCGCATTCCTAAATTGCGAGAATTAACTTAATTTGTCAGCACATAGTCATTTAATTCTAGTAAAATTAGCAAAGCTAACAGGATTGCATCTCTTGCAAAAAGAACACAAGACAACACAACAAGAATAGACATGGCTTTGAAATTTTAAAAGAACAAAAAACACTAAGGGAAATTTCATATTCCTGGCATTCTAAAAGTTTCCAGAAAAGTGGCCATCTTAACAATAGAAGAACAGTATAGGACCTGAGTTTTTAAAAATCTAAAATAGATCAAACTTCCCAGCAGCATAGGGACTTCTGTTCATCTCTAGAAGAGGGTATCAACAAAACATACATTTTCACAAAAACAAAAAACACACGAAAGAATAAAATGACAGCTCATGACTCCACTCCAGCAAGGCAAAGAGCTTTTAATAGTAGCCATGAACTGAAAGTGCATTCGAATCATTGGACAATGGCACCTTCCTGAAGTTATTACAAACATCACAGTGAGAACAAGCAAAGACGTTTTGCTTCGAGTAGCTGCACAACTGAAGACTTCTTTTCATTTTACTACAAACTGTAGAAATCTTTTTTGACCCACTAACAAGAGACGGACAAAATGGGGTTTTCTTTACTTTCAAGCTTTCACCCCAAAAAAAATTATCTTTTAATGTAAGTGTTTTTACGACCCCATCGACACAATTTAGATCAATTTGGAAGCAGGCTGCAGACCCTGCCTGTCGAGGCCAACCCGTGCTGAGAGGGATACTTGAGATACTTAGTAAAAACTGTCACCCCACTCAGGAACCGAACTCTTGGTCTTCTGCCTGCGACAGCAAAGCCCCTAACCACTACACCACAGAGGCCGGTAACCTTTGGCTGAAAAGCTGCAAACATGACAAAAATCAAATAATGTTTGGACCAAATTCCTGTTATGTTTCAGACTCTTTAAAAAATGCGTTTTGACCTCCCTCCCAATATATACACTTGCAGTATTCACATATTTACAGGATGTGTGAACATGAAAAATAATGATGGATGGTCAAAGGGCACAAAGCTTCAGTGAAGTGTAATAATTTTTTTCATCGTCCACATTCTCCACATTGCAACATTCACACCTAGAAAGGGAGGAAAAAATTCAGGAAAATGTGTCTGTCCCAAGGAATCAGAACACATTGTTCTGCCAGGGGTAGAACTCATAACCAAATGGTCACCAATCCAGCAATCTAAAATTACTGAACCGTCATTCCAACATTCATAAATTTGGTAAACATAGTTCGGCTTTTCCTTTTTCGCTTTTCTCACGTTTTTTTCTCTCTCTCTCGTTATGAGAATAAACACATTTTCAGAAAAGAACAAATAAAACAAAACAAAAACGTACAAGGCAAAGCCAGAACTCTCGCACAATTTACACCAACATGTGACCCAATTCCAAGAAAACCTCTCACAGTAACTTATTCTCAAATCTGTCAAAACAGTTAAAAGAGGTAATGGAGCGAGCCAGTTCTCATTTCAACACAAGCATTTTTGCTTTATGCAAAGTATTCTTCAATGAAAGATGATAATCAATGCTTTCTTTTTTTTTAACTGCTTCCATTCCAACAATTTCGTAACTCTTTCCGGACATATTGCCGATATATTGGCAAGAGTCTGCACCTAGTGAGGATGTATCGTCAAAGTTTTGTTTCGTATTAACGTGATCCGTGATTAAAAAGGACTTATTATTGCTACTTGAAAACTTGAAAAGGATTTATGAAACAAAAACATCTAGTTTCTCTTTGTCAAAGCATCAGATTGGCAATAAACGAGGGAATTCATTCTTGCAGTCTAGCATCAACAGGGCGACGTAACTGGACTGAGTAGAAATATCATAACTCAAACAAAAATTGGAATATTGCTTTCAAATAAAAAACTGTGCATTCAAAAATGTGAGAATTATATTCCTCACCTGTATGTGATTAGATAGCTATGCTGACTTGCTTTTTAAAAAAAATCAAACTTTAATTTTCTCCTCACCATCACCCATTTTAACCCTTGTAATGCATGCTTATGTTCAAAATTAATCCTTGTTTTATGTCTGAATGTATTTCTCATTCAATTTTGTTCAATTTGATTTATCACAAGTTACCTTTTGAGTGATGGTTATGCTTATATGAAGTTATTTTGTACATCACCTGTATAGGTAAAATCAAAGTCAAAATTTAATTAAGTCTAGATCCAAAAACCTAAAGATATCTGGTACACCTGAAAAGAGTGAAGTATGGAATACCCTCGAAATTTAAAAAAATGTAATTTATATGACTTCAATTTACTGAGAGTCACTCATTCATAAGGGCTGGAAAACAACATTACCCCTCTGACAGGTTATTTGACAGTCATTTCACACACAACAGCGGAGTGGCCGATGTTATTGCGACTGGTACCAGGTACTGTACTGGTCCGTGCTGTACGTCTGATACGACGCCATGTCTCCCGTGCCCATATTCGTCCCCACGTTGGCTCCCATGTTCCAGTTGTACCCGTTGTTGGACCACTGCTGCTGCTGCTGTTGCTGCTGCTGCTGCATCTGCTGTGGCTGTTGTTGCTGCATGTTGTACATCTGAGGGTTCACGTTCATCATGCCTGGCTGTTGCTGTTGCTGCTGCTGCTGCACTTGCCGGTGCACGTCTAGCGTGATGTTCTGTTGCTGCATCAGCCTCTGGCGCTTGTCCTGCAGGTTGTCGTTGCCGCTAGTGTTGTACGAGGCCATCCCTCCGTCGTTGGAGCCACCTTGCTGCTGGCCCCCTAGCCACCCACTTGAGTTCATCTGTGCAGCAGACCAAGAGTAGATATTAAAATCCTGACAATTAATCTTATTTTTACATCTACAGTCCGATACGGATAACTCAAACACACTGGGGATTGACAAATGTGTGCGACACATCAATAGTCCGGGTTAACTGATATAACAAAAAATTAAAGAGATAATATATCGGTCGGGAAATGGCAAATTGTACAAGCTATACGTGAATTCAAGTTTTCCATGTTCATGTTATCTGTGCCCAACTGTATGTATTTTCAGTGTGTGGGAAACTGAAACAATCATTGACCAAATTTCAAACAATGTGTGTCAACCATAAAAGTCTAACCGCACATCAAAATAACTGACAGTCATTGACAAAATGAGCAAAGGATTATCAGATCCTATAAACTTTGTTGACTGAGATTGTGTGAACTACAGTACACTTTTGAGGGTTTTTTTTCCTGAACACTTGAATTAAGTTAAACATAAGTCTCAAGATTAAACTCCAGAATCTTTCAGCAACTATCCAGGAGACCACTCTTAATGCTATGCGAGTTTCAGCACCCCCCCCCCCCCCTCTTTTTCTACTTCTCATTTTTTGTATTTTACTCTTTATGTACATACAAAACATTCCTACTCAGAAGCTGGCATACACTTGAAATGGGTAAAAATTAACAACCACACAGCAAAGAAGACGTATGTTGAAAAGCCGAAAAACTTACTCCTGCACATTTTTACCATTGGGAGACTAAGCTGGGCCAAAACTAAACTTGAACTCATCAACCATAAGTCATGCAAAATATTTTCAGTCAGTCTCTCATAAAGAAATCAGTAGCCAGTTTCGATGGTATTTAAAATCTACAGATGTTGCACACCATAATATATATATATATATATATATATATATATATATATATGCAACATTTTTTATCTCTAGACTAGACCCTCAAAGCCATGACAGACTATCAGTAAAGCAGGCACATGGTGAAATCATCGGGGACACAGATATCTTTGCTCTGTACGAATTTCAGGCTATATCAAGGGAGATAAACATAATTAGACAATCTGGTATAAGTTTTACATGATTTATGCCCCCTACACCGTGCCAAATTGCATCATGTTGAATTCATAATATTATGAGCAATATGAGTGTTGCTTTACCTGATTGTTGTAATTATTGTAACCAGAGTTATAACTGTTCTGATTGTAGTTGGAGCCACCGCGTCCTCTGTAGCCGCCTCTGCCCCGAGGGGAGAAATCATCTCGGCCTTGCCAGCCCGACTGTCTGTTGAATCCTCCCCGTAATGAGCTGCTGTCAAATCGGCTCTTGTTCGCCGAGAAATTTGAGGAATTGTTGCTGGAAAATGAGGGCTGACTCTTGTATGTTACAGGCAGGCTTCTTGCCTTCAAGGAGAGTGACTGTGAGAACAACGACGTGCCTTCGAGGACCTAATAAGATGGAAACAAGCAAAAGTGGAATGCAAATACAAAACAGCACAACTCCAACTTATACGGGGGGGCCCACTACGGCTAGATCAGGCCGATTGCCTGACTAGATCGCCTGAAACAGAAAACACGTTTGTTTTTGAGGTGACTGAGTCAGGCGGTCAGGCTATCAGCCCGATCGGCCAATCCCATCCGTAGTGGGCACCCCGTATTAGAATTCAAGTAAATATATATATATATATATATATATTTCTAATTTTTCATCCTTTAAACATAGATAAAGTGCAAAAGTTAACATAGGTTCCATTCAATTGATGAAACAGTGAATAGTAATTTAAACTGATGTCAGCATTTCTCAAAGCTACAAGTTCATACTTCCAGGCATACTAAAAATCTCATGTTCTGTGACTAAGAAAAAAGAGACACAGCTCAAAGGAATGTTATACTCACTGAGTGGATACACACTCTTACCCTACCACTGGTTTCCTCCTAAAAAGAATCACCAGATTAAAATAAGCACCATGAACAATAGAATCTCTATCAAATGCTTTCTAAGCCTTTCGGGACCTTTATGACTAAACTCCATGCAAAAATTTCAGGTAACAAATGCAGGAACTTATAACATTTGCTCGGCAAAAATACATTCAGTATTACTCCTTCACTGACACGCAAAGTGATTAAAATTGTGACATATATATCGTAGCACAATAAAACTTTAAACTTTCACAAAGAGGCTGACCTTCCATCAATAAGAAAAGATATTATGCTACTAAACAAAAAATAAACACAAAAATAAAAGGAATGCCAAGGAACAGAAATCCTTTTTAAAAGGCGATCTTTAAAAAGCTCTCTTCATAAGTTACAGTAGAACACGCCACCTGTCTAAGACAATCGCCTGTACAGCAATCCACTTCCCAGCACTCTTCCCCTTGCAATTTTATAAAAATATTATCATTACACTGTCCAAGAAGTCCACCTGTTAAGGCAGCTATTTTTCTCCTAGACGATGTGTCGCCGTCTAGGAAGATTTCAGTTATCTTAAAACATGAAAAAACTAAGTTTGTACCTGTGTGGCATACTGAACAGATTCTGCATGTCGAAACACAACATAAGCATGTCCTTTGTGCTTCTTATTGTCTCCTTCTCCTTCAGTTGGAAACACCAGTCTATCAATGGGTCCTGTCTGAAATACAAAAACAAAACAAGAAAAACATGATCATGTGTATAAAAATAAAACACAAATATTTTTGTACAGATCTTGATAACGTGATGCTATTCAAGGAATTCAGGAAACTTATCATTTAGTCATCTCATTACACTACATTTACAATTCAGTTTCATCTCGACCCTGGGTACTTTCAGATATTTGATATTAATTATGATAGAAGTAACAGTTATATTTTTATGCAGCCATCTTTTCCATAGCTGTGACAAAACAGAAACATACAGGACACAAAGAAACTGTAGTTGACACTGAAGTACACAGGGAAGGTGGGGGTTGGGAGATAACAGATTGCACATCCAGCATAATTCTTCAACAACTTGCCTTAAGTGTGAGCAATAAGGATCAACCACTGCCAAGAGTCTTTTTCCTAAGTGGGGTTTTTTTTTCATCAATTCTAGAAACTTACAAGTCAGAGAAGTCTTTCTTCTTAAAGTAAAACAGACAAAAGAAGCAGGAAAAACAAACAAAAAAACCACTATCTTCAATCAAAAATCACACTACTGTCAATCACCTACACACCACCTCATTTTTTTTATTTTTTTTTATAGTAGAGGGTTTTACGGCGCTCGCAATTGCATAAGGTCATATGAGCGCCAAGGGGTGGGTGTTAACAGAGAAGTCTTTACAGGGAATCAGACTTAGACTGCTCACCTCTCTAGCTTCAACAGCACAAGGTCTGCTTCGACTATCAAGGCACCCCAAAATAGCAGGTCACAAGAGAGTGACAAATATACAAAAGAAGTAGAGGAAAATGACAATAGTAAGGATCAGGAAAGAAAAGGCAGTAGTTCCCTGTTGCAGATCAGGCACAATTATGAGCGTGACATGAGTCAGTCCATTTACAATTCTACTATGCTTGAACGAGAAATGTCCCTCTTTGGGAATGACCTAAAGACACTTCAGTCAGAGGCACTGACCCCGGGGGGAACACCACCTCATCAACACAACAACTACAACAGTGCCATCATGCAGGTCATATTTTTGTTTCAGTAACTTAAGTTGGTAAAAGGGTGAAAGGGCATTTGAATATCAAGGCCCCAAGAGCCTGTGTACTTTAATCATGGTTGAGCCCTACTGAAAGTAAAGTATAACCCTCCACATTGCCACACTTCACATAAATTCATACATCATGACGATCACAGCCCATTATTTCTTCTTACTGTGAAAATTAGCTTCAATCCCATGGCAGTAGCACACTAAGCCCTTTGAACCCTGACCTCTTGAGACTATAGTGCCCTCTGCCTGATCGACTCACTCCTTCAGACCTTCAATCATATCATCTTCAGAAATACATTCTATATCCCACTCGAGGATTATAATCATAATCAATGACATCCTGCGTAGCAAACACCATTTTCCATGTGTGTGTTTTGTCCCAGGCGGCCGGTTTCAGGATAGAGTTTCGCTCACAGGTGTACGGTGGCTTGGCATACAGGCAATTTTACGTGCCACCAGTATTACAAAGACTACGTTTCAAATGCTGAGGTACGAAAAAAACCCACCAACGCAGAGGGGCAGTATGAAGATCTACTGACCACAGTGAAGAGACGAAAATTAAAATGGTATGGGCATGTCACAAGATCCACAACAGTGCTATAGCGTTTCTCCATGCTCACGGTGTTGTACCGAAGGAAGTTATATATGCCCTAAGTGCCAGTACCAATGCACTTTTAGGAAGAAGGACCACATTTGGAGGTGCAGGGCAAGTGTGGTCATTCCAAAGACTAAAAAGAGCAGGTACTGTGACTGCAGTGTTTCGGATTACAAAGGGAGATTTGAACTGTCTTCGTGTCACTTCGCACCCAGGAAAGTACTTTTTGTAATCACTTTTTAAACCACCACTGGGATCTGGGTCTCTCATCGAACTTCACAGTGGACTGGCACTTGTTTTGTTGTGAGGTGACCGAGGAGTGGTTTTCTTAGCAGGAGGCGATAGGTGGAGCTGATGTGGAAGGGGACGAGACCCTGATACTTCGTAGGAAATACGATAAGGGCCGTGTGCTCAACCAGGTGAGGTAGTTTGGAGGGGATAGAGTGCACCTCCAAGCGACTGTTTGTCATCCCTCTTACCCGAGACAGGAGGGATAGCGTTACCCTCGTACAGCTCATAAAACAATCCATTCTCACAGGGAGCGTCATATACAGTGGAACTCGGATTCAACGAGGTCGTCGGGCCTGACCTAAAATCTCGTTGAATCCGAGTCTTCGTTATAGCAAACACGAGGTTTTGTGTAGATAATTACAGGCACTGAGCAAGTAATGCGCAAGAGAAGTCACAAGTGGTGCCTGAAAGGCCTGCGTATTTTGAGCTGTGTAAAAAAAAGACCAATTCGTTCAAATACACACGCCTGTGTCATCTCAATTGTTTACCAAAAAGTTGTGTTGCTGTGTAGAGCCTAGCATACAGCAACTTTTGATTCCATAGACCAGCGCACAATTCATTACGTAGAACTACGTTAAGACTAGCTTATTATTGTAATAATGATCAGTTGCCGAGGGGAAAAAAAGACTGTGACGCGTTTGTACATGCGACGTTCAACGCCTGGACTGCTAGAGCCCCCCCGGCACGGCAACCCCGACACACGCTAGAGTAGACACATGCGCGTGCCAACAACACATGTGTTGGTACTTTAAAAGGCCGCTGATTGATCGCATGCAATCGGTTAAGTGAGTAAATGGTTCCCGATGCAGGTGCAATGGATGGTTTCCGGGAATAGATAAAGTTCATTCTGGGAGAAAAATTAACGAAGCCACGTCTGTGGGGGCTGTTCACCCTGGAAGCGACCTCATTGAATCCGGGTTACTTTTATTGATTTTAAAGAAGAAAAAAAACGGGGAATCTGTCTCATCTTGTTGAATCCGAGTTCTCGTTGAATCCGAGTTCCACTGTTTTCTGGCGCTTAGGAGGCATTCGTTCCCTGGAAGAACTCAGCTACACGCACCGGGTGACTAATCACTTAGTGAGTTCTGTGGACCAGGACAATCCATAGATGCACACACAGAACGTTGAGAGACTGTGGAGGGATATTAAGGGGTGGGTGAAGCAGCCAGGTAATCGCTCCCAGTACCTCAAGCAGTACCTTGCGAGGTACCTGTTAGTCACATCCACTTCTGGAAGTCAGCTATTTCACCATTTTTTTGTGGAGGCAGGGAAGCTGTATCCCCCCTGTCTGAAAAGGAGCGTGGAGCTCCTGAACCAGAAGTGCCGCCAAATGACGAATAAGGACAGGTTGTTTTTTTTAGTTGAGGCTTAGTTTTAGGCTTTTTTGTTTTGCTTATGCATGCTTTTGTAGTCATTAAGGAGGTTTCAGGGGGTCCACCCAAGACGAGCGATTACGTAATAACTTTGCAGTAGGGAGGGTTCCATTTGTGACGTTTTTTAATACCCAAATCGTGTTCAGGGCCCCCCAAAAAAAACTAAAAAGCCACAAAATAACACCCCTTATGACACGGGAGTGGCTTTATAAAATTACCAATTATTAATTAATATTATTAGCTAAATCCAGAAAAAATGGTAAAATAATAAAACATGCAGATTTGGAGCACTGTCAACAAACTCACTTTTTATTACTTTTACAGTACAGTACCTTATCTGCACTAACGACCACCTGTATAAAAAATCACTTTTATACATGGTTACTTCCCACTTCCACATTGCATTTTTGCTTAAATAATGACACTGTGTCAGACGGCCATTTTTCTCCTCAACAAAGAGTGGCTATCTAGATCACTGACACTGTCGACACCTACTTTGTTGACAATTTCAACCACTTAACTGATTACTTTTACTTTTTAGGCCTTTATTTAATTTAGATTTTCGGGAGTGACTACCATGAACGTAGTTTGCAAGCTACATTCACTGCGCCCTGAATGTAGTCTTCAGTTTAAGAATGGTCTTTCTCACTTCACCCCCTACCCTTTTCCCTTTAGCTGCTTCTTTTTTTTACTCCCTTCCACCCCTCTTCCTGCCTTGGCCTTCTTCTATTCTCCCTTGCTTCGGTAAATTTTTACTTTCACACCTGCACACAGATGCACTGCTTCAGGGGTCAAACTGCAGTATTGTTTGCTGCAGATCACACATTTATAAGCCACCAAAACTGGCAAATCAATTATTTTCAATAAAATTTTAAACCTACCTATAAAATATCAAATTATGGGTAACCCCCCAAATTTTATTTTACCCAGAGGGCAGGCCCCCCTGAAACCTCCCGATTTGTCCAAAGCGCGCTAATTACTACGCTTTTAGGAATAGCGTTGTGTGCTATAGATCGATAAAGAACAAGCAAATATTTCAAAAACTATTTATTTGTGACGGAAATGACGTTGACATTCGTGTTCAGCCCATCAATATTTAGTAGAAATGGACATCTGGTAGCTAAGTGTGAGATGGGAGGGAAAGAAAATCGAGGGTTGCCAGGTCCACACACGGGAAGAGAATCGAAAGTGGTGTTCTGCGCGCTGAGTGAGCGAGGCCTTGTCGACTGCAGCTGTTTTGCTGTGCTCGCCTTCGCCCTTCGTAAACTCCATTGCATTTGGACCACTGCTGCATTATTTTTCATGGGAGTATTCCTGTGCTGTTTCCTCATTCACTTTGAGCGATCATAGCCTTTCAGTCGTGCCTCTGTGCCAATGGAGGATGTTACAGGGTGCCGTGAACGTAGCTTGCAAACTAGTCATTGCGTTCGATTTTAGAGTAGGCTAGACCTAGTCCCCGGCGAACGCTTGTTAGTACACCTTTTGTCCCGTCTCCCCGTGTCCAAATTCAAAGGTAGATATAACTGAACAATTTGAAATACATGAAGCAACAGCGAGCACCTAGCACACCTCTGTGATCGGCCCAAATATAGATGACGTATTTCCACCATCTATTTTTGTCTTCTTCCGGGGCTTCCTTCGCCAGTTGACTAGATCTCACTGTGGTGGGCCTGCGCCATGGGCTACGTCACAAGGTTTCATCGCCAACTGCTTGGATGTGTGTGCGCGTATGTGTGTGTGAGTGCGCACACTCTTGTGTGTGTGTGTTTGTGTGTGTGTGCCCGCACTTGTGTGTGTGTGTATGTGTGTGTGTTTGTGTGAGTACAACTTTGAGGAAGAGGGCCAGCCGACCATCAACACAAAAGAGTGGAATTTTGAGAGGGGTATACCCTAACCCGGCTCTTTTCGGGAGACGTGGTCCCGGCCTAACTCCATAATATACATGTAAACAATTGGAAACAAAACCGGAAGTTGCCTTTAAAAAAAAGGGGGGGACTCTCCCCAGCTAAATTCACAAAATAATGGTTTGTGGCAGTTTTTAATGCCAAAATTGTTCTTCAAATGGGTTTGGACCTTTTCTATAAGGCGCAGGCGGGCCTTTCGGCTATTCTCACCCAGTGTGCCTTCATCGTGATAGGCCACCCAGTGTAGCGTTCACCGTGAACAAACGTTCCAGCGCTCTTGTGTTGAAAGCATGCTATTTTGTCTGTGGCAGTGAGAGAGAGAGAGAGAGAGAAAGAGAGAGAGAGAGAGAGAGAGAAAGGGGGGGGGAGAGAGAGAGAGAGGGGGAGGGGAGAGAGAGAGAGGAGTAGCGCGAGAGAACTTCCGGGCAAAACAAAATGGCGACCCGCATAGTTCAGCTCGATTCGAAATGTTAAATATAGTTGTGTGGCATCTTTGTAGACGACCAAATTAGTTAACTTTTGTGCTATAACTTATATAACGTCATTTTTTTTTTTTCGTCTATCTGATCATCCACGCCGAGACAGTGAAATTAGGAAAAATAGGTCTTGTTTCACACCGGGTGAGAATAGCTAACGCTGGCAAGTCTCACCTGTGGTGAGAGGTCGATCGTATTTTTATTCTCACCCAGGGAGAGGATACACCACTTCCGGCACTACTTGGATATGGTGGTCCCGACTTTTGTGTAGGCCAAAGATAGTACATAACAAGATGGTCCACTCAGCCAAAAAAGTGTCCGCCGGAAGTCCGCTCTTTGCTTTTACTCTTATCCTGCGTCTGTGCCCAGATGCGTATCTTATCAGCAACCGATTACGTCGGACTCGCCGGGCAGGCCGCCGGGGTCACTCAGTGTGTACTGTTGGTGTACAGCGCGCGCGCCGGGAAACGTGTGTTTTCGCCATGAATACCGCGGGAGTGTGTTAACTGATGATGAAAATAACGCTCTATCCTTCATAGCATTCTATTTATAAAGTGTTACAAACACATGAATAACCCCCTCTCACAAGCTGATAAGACATTACGAGTAGTTAGGCCCATTTGAATAACCTTTCTGGACGCTCTTGTTGTTATGAATGACCTGAGGTTCGAAAAGGGATAATTTAGGTCAATTTCCGAATTTTTTACACTCAAATTGTTCTTTGTACCTGCACAAGGGTATTCAAAACTATTAAACAAGCTCATTTTTTTTATCAGGTAGTATCATTTCATACAAAATCAAGCTCATTTGAAATATTTTGTATAGAAAAATGGAAGTCTTGTTTCCTGACTATCCTTTCGAGCTCCTCATGTCTAAGTGGGTCAATTTCTTCTATAATTTCATTGGACGAACATCTAGAGCTATCAACTTGGCATGTTTTGAATGAGACATATGCCTCGATTACGAACCAACACAGGTGGTTCTAGAAGAAGGCCACAAACGAACACAAACTCAAGCAGACTGACGCACACACACTTGACCTGCGTGAATGGGGATCCGACTCGGGACCCGAATGACACGTAAGAGGATGCGCGCTGCGCGTGCGCTGAGCCAGGAGCTACACTGACTCGGGACCAGAACGCAGACGAGGTGCCGAAATAGGCTTATCGGGCTACATAAACCCGGCTCCCGCAGGATGAGGGTTAAGATGGCGCTGCAGTATGTTTTGAAGCTCTCTTTCTCGTTTTTCCAGAAGAAGAATAGGAATAGCACCTCCTTGCGTGCGCAGATCGACTGCTGTTCATCGGAGTTTAAATTTTTTTTTAAATTTTAATGACCTCTCACCTTTCATTCTAAAGTCAAATTAAACAAAGAAAACAATCACCCCTTCCTTCGGAAAAGGTTTCTTGTCAGCGTAACAATTTTTTAAAAGCGTCCTTCCGAAATTTATTCAAAAACTAATGTTATTAGTTTCACTCACAGAATTCTACATTTAGTGTAGCATTCTGTGGTTTCATTTTGATTTTTTCAACACAAGTAGGGTAACTCTGTTCGCAAAGGGTGCGCATTTGCGAAGAGGGCGCCACCGAATTTTGAGGACACTTTTTTATTTTTAATTGGCTCAAAGAGAGGAGTGGCCCCTCTTGTTATAATGTAGACTCTTTGAGTAGGCCTACTGAAATATCGATACTGATTTAAATAGTCGGTATCAATGTTTTATGTTTTATCGCTGGTAGCCTAGATCTAAATCTAGATTCTAGATCTAGCCTACAAAATGAGCAGTAAAATTTCACTTGTTTTTCACATGGCAAGGAGGGTAGCCCCCCTGACTTAAAAAAAAACAAACATGGGGTGTTTCAGGGGGGCATGCCCCCCTGAATTTGACCACAATTTGATGTTTTGCAATTAGGTTTGAAAGGCTATCATATCTCTCCATATCGGCACACGAATAAAAAAGTAATCGTTTAGACTTAGATCTAGAACCAGAAGTAATCGCCGTTGGGGTCAATAGATTCTAGATTTTCTCTGGGTTATTCCCCTGTTACGAAAGTCAGGACCACCATATCCAAGTAGATTTAGTGCCCCACTTCCTTTTTATAAATTTACCGGTGGTCTTTTCACCCTGGCAACTCACTAGATATCTAGATCTAACTTCGAAGTTATTCAGTCAGTTTTTTTTACTCGACTTCCGTTTTTGTTTCCAATTTTCGTTGTGTATAAATGTCTGTGGAGTTAGGCCGGGACAACTTCTCCCGAAGAGTGCCCCTAACCCTAAACCCTAAGCCTCCTAACCCTAACTCTTGTACTTGTAGTTTGCTCAGTCTCAGTGGATCTTGTCACGGTTGCCTAAGTGCCAGCCCTCTCTCCCCAACACCCGTAACAACCTTTCTCAAACAAGACCAAAAAAATAGCGGGTCAGGTGTGTCCTATTATCGATACAAAGTATGGCCAGTCCTTGGAAACATTACGATCTGTCTACATAACACAGCTGCACGTTACGACTTATATAGACTTTAAAGATATTCTCACCTGGAAAAATAATTCATAAATTATTTCTTCTGTGACTTTTTCGTCAAGATTTCCAACCCACAGCGTTCTACTATCTTCCGTCATCTTGAAATTTATCAACTTCCGGAACACTCTAGGGTAGATGACTACAAAATATTGCTGTTAGAAATGTGGCTATTAGTTGTGTCCCTTATATCTATGCCACTCGGACCAATACAAATACATTGCCAATAACCATGTTATAATATTGTGTTCATATTATGGTATGCATATTCATGGTATGAAGTGAGACTAAGATATCACGTACGTCAGTGTGTTTAAGAATCCCAGAATGATTTCCAAACAGCAACAGGGCAATAGGCAGACTCACTGTGGATGGGCTGAAAGGAGGTCCCAAAACGTCCGTTATAAAAAGAAATGTTGCAGTCATCGAAGCATTCACTCTCATAAAAATGAGGGGGGGGGTGTTCTTTCTTCTTGTTTTTTTTTTTAGAGATCTGTACATGTATATTTTCGAATTTAGATCATAATAACACCAGTTGGGGACCATTAAACCCTAATAATCATTGTTTGTTGTTGGTTAAAATTGTTGCTTTTTTGTTGTTTGTTGTTGGGCTTTTTTCTTTTTCATTCTTTAACTTTTCGAAGGCTCTGCTGAAGACAAAGGACATAAACTCATTTGTTTGTATATAGAGCAAGCTTGTATTTATTTATGTGTTGAATGGACCTAAGCAATGTTCTTTGCCTCATAGACATAGTAAACCCAAGTGAGTCCTATGAGTACCAAACTTTCTTCTGATCAGTCTGAGCAACGTCGTCCCTGAAATCAGCATGACTTGGTCCCTAAAGAGACAATAAATTCGATTAAACTACTCTGTATTGTATCGAAAGAGTACCATAATAAAATGCCAATGCCAATTTGGAAAACGGACAGTCAAACTGGTAGGCAATAGAATACTGATCTTTTGGTCGCAATGCAGAAGCCAGATAGATATACTTTTTCGTGAGATCATAAAAAGTTCTTCTCAAGTGTTATACTAAGTAGGTTAGGTAGACAGTGGATCAGCAGGTGGAAACTTCCGACTGACAGCGCAGCAATTGCTGTGAAAGCGTTTGAGATATAGATCATTAAGGGAGAGGTACGAGAAATCTGAAATACGAACGTAACATTCGCTGGAAAAAGTCACGTTCTCTCTATTCAACTGTAGTCACACATGTCCAAAATGATCACCCATTCATTATCGAGGAGAAATTTTAAAGTGGTCATCTCAGACACTAGGCAGTCCTCTTGGACATTGTCATTGCAACAAAGAAAAACACATCGGCCATTTGTCCCCAAGACAATCCCTACAACTACAAATGTCCATTTCTTATTTCCCCCTTGCTTTTTTCAAAAGGGCCTGACACTGTACAAGAAGTTCATCGGTCTAAGATAAACACTTTTTCCCTGATAAATTGGTGACGGTCTTAAAATTGTACAATTTGGACTCTATAAAAAGATCTTGCGGTGCAGATTCGTCTCCACGGGCAGACATTTAACTTACTTTCAGTTTTCCAATACGGACTGAACATCCCTCTTTTGCACCTCAAATGAACGTAAATTGCGGGGACAATATTCTCTCCGGAATATAATATGCGTCAGTAGGAGCTGCCCAACATTTCTCAAGGTAAGAAAAAAAACTGATTGTCTCTGTCCATATCAGATTTGAACATAGATCTATATGTTTCGAAAAGATGTAACATGTCGCTGAAGGAAAGAAGTTTTCATTTTTCGTCAGTGTGTTCTTCTAAGAAAGAGGACGAAGTCATAATTCCTTTTGTTGATCCTTTTTTTTAAATTCTGTTTCGATTTTTGCTTTTGTTTTAATTAGGTAAAACTAAAAGAAATATCGTAAAATTGAGCGCAAGCAGACGGTTTGTGTTTTTGTCCTTTTTGTTATGTATTGCATCCGTTACTGCTTGTTGTTCGGAAATCTGTTCTAAATTGCTGCAAACACCCATTGAAGCAGGCAGGCTATGACACCTTATAGATCTAATATTGCCGAGGACTATTCGGTTTGAAGCAGGTGCTTGCCGTTTACGGACTGTAAAAAATGTCTCCCACCGTCACGATAGAGACAACACTGGCTGTCTCACATTACGCAAATCAACTATTCAAGTACCTATTGGTATTAGGTAACCTTAAACATTCTAAAATCTGCAGACTCGTACTCTCGATATGAATGCGGGGTGGTTAGATTAAGGATGTGGTTATCATCTTTATGACGTAAATAAGTGGGCTCTGATACGGAAGGCATACTTTAAGGTATCGAATAAGCTTCCGCCCCCCCCCCCCCTCC